TCCTTTTCTTTTTAAAAAAGGAAATAAATGACTTTCTTGTTTTCTTTTTGTGTTTGTTTGCTTGGGATAATTAAAAGTAATACATGAGCCTTGGGTGTAGCATGGTGGTATACACCTTTAATTCCAGTTACTTAGGACACTGAGGCAGGAGGGTTACAAATTCAAGGCCAACCTGGGCAACTTAACAAGACCCTGCCTGAAAAGGGGTAGAGCACTCCTGGTTCAATCCCTAGCACCCCCCCAACCCCCAAAAAGTAATACATTATACTCATCATATTGCTGAAAGTAAAATACCTGACATACCCTAACTTGGTTAGAATATAGAGTAATGGAAAGTTTTATAGGTATAACAACTTGAAAAGCAATTTGGCAATATCTAGTAAAATTGAAAATGCACATATTCTACAATGCAACAACTCCATTCCTGGGTATATGTCCCAGGGAAGATGTTGACTGTGTACATGGAGCATAGTGTTTAAGCCATATTTAATAGATGAAAAAAAAATCAACCTCAATACCCATCAACAAGAGTTGGTGCACACACACATATGTGCCCACACAAGATGCTATACTGAAACTTTAATGCACAATATAGCATTGTGGTTAAAGTGATAATCTAGAGCTGCACACTGAGAACAAATAAGGTGCAGTTCATACACCAGACAGCTCAAGATTTAGAAATAGGTGTACAAGTAACACACATTGTGTATGAATACTTACATATAAAAATAAGTGTAAAACCATGCATGACATTGATAAGCACCCAGCTCAAGAGAGTGATAACTCTGGGAGAGGCGGGGAAATGGGAAGCTTAAAAACTGTATTTTAAGCTGGGTGCAGTGGCTCATATCTGTGATTTCAGTAGCTAGGGAGGATTCTGAATTTAAATCCAGCCTCACCAATTTAGTGAGGCCCCAAGCAACTCAGTGAGACCCTGTCTCTAAATATATTAAAAAGTGGGGGGGGGGCTGGGGATGTGGCTCAGTGGTTAAGTACCCTGGGTTCAATCCTTAGTACCAAAATAAATAAATAGCTGTATTTTATTTCTCTAAAAGAGATTTGATATAATGAATGTTAAGATTGGACAAAGCTGGATAGTAGGCATACAGATATCTACTATTTCCTATATTTTTCTAAATGTTTGAAATAATTTAATTGATATAAAGTTATACATATTCATTGCAAAGGTTTTTAAGTATGCCAAAGGGCATAACGAAGGTGTTAGCAGTATAGCTCACTAGTAGCTCTGAGTTTGATCCCAGAACAGCAAAGGAAAAAAAGCCATGAAGAAAATAAATATCACCCATAACAACACAATCCAAAGATAATGTACATTAACATTCTACTAAATATTCCCTAAACATAAAACAAAAACTTAATCTTTTTTACTTAACATATTGTAGAAATTTTTTTTTGAGTGTGTGTAGTATTGGGGTTTGAACTCAGGGCCCTGCATATGTTAGGTAAATTGAGCTATTTTTTTTTTCCTGCTTTGCAATAGGTCTCAATAAATTGTCCAGGCTGGCCTTGGACTCTCCATCCTGCCTCAGCCACCTGACGCATGACATTACAGGCATATACCACCACACCAGGCTACACACACAAAATTTAAAGACTATATAATATTCCTTCATATAGATGAATAATAAACCCTACATACAAATTTTTGCCCCTATTCCTGATTATTTCCTTAGGGAGATTCCTAGGAGTGGGAATTTTGGTCGAAGAAAGTATACTTTTTAAAAGTATACTTTTTAAAAGTATAAAAGCTTAAAAACTGTAAGTCTGTTTTGTTTTGCTTTTAAACAAATGCTTTGTATAGTTCATGCATCATAAAAATAACCATTTTAGGGGCTGGGGATGTGGCTCAAGCGGTAGCGCGCTCGCCTGGCATGCGTGCAGCCCAGGTTTGATCCTCAGCACCACATACCAACAAAGATGTTGTGTCCGCTGAGAACTAAAAAATAAATATTAAAAAATTCTCTCTCTCTCTCTCTCTCTCTCTCTCTCTCTCTCTCTCTCTCCTCTCTCACTCTCTCTTAAAAAAATAAAAAAATAAAAATAACCATTTTAAAGTATATGGTTAGGTTAGGAATGTAGCTTAGTTGGTAGAGTGCTCGTCTCTCATGCACAAGGCCCTGGGTTCAGTCCCCAGCATCACAAAATAATAATAATAAGTAAAGTATACATTTGATCCCAGTGTAGTGGCACATGCCTATAGTGGCACATGCCTATAATCCTGGAAATTCAGAAGACTAAAGTAGGAGGTTCAAGGCCAGCCCGAGCAACTTAGCAAGACCCTGTCTCAAAATTAAAAACAAAAATTTTTAAAGGGCTGGGGATTTAACTCAGTGTTAGAGCACCCCTGGGTTCAATTACCAATATCAAATAAATAAATAAAAATGCAATTGAGTGGATTTTTGTATATTCAGAATTGTACAATTCTCACCACTATCTAATTATAGAACATTTTCATCACTCCAAAAAGAAACCCCAGACCCATTAGCWGTCACTCATTCTATGTAGCCTTCCCAGTCCTAGTAAACTTCTAATCCACCTTCTGTCTCTATGGATATGCCTATTCCAGATGTGGAACTGTATGATAGGTGGTCTTTGACTGGTGTCTTTCACTTGGCAAAGTGTTTTCTTCAAGTTTTGTCCATGTCCTACCATGTGTCGGTACTTTGTTCCTTTTTTACCAATGAGTAATATAGCATTCTATGGGCATGCCATATTTTGTTTGTCCATTCATYAGTTGATGTGTATTTGGGTTATTTCTGCTTTGCGTATTTATGTTTGTTGTCCTGGGGACTGAACGCAGGCATGCTCTATCACTGAAYGACACTCCCGACCCTTTTTATTTACTTAAGACATGGTCTCACTAAGTTGCCCAGGCTGGCCTCAAACTTGCTAGGTCTCCTGCATCAGCCTCCCAAGTCACTGGGATTACAGGTATGCACCACTGTGCCAAACTTACTTTTGGACTATTAGAAATAATGCTGCTATGATCATTTGTGTTCATGTTTTTTTGGGGAGGGGGAGGGCTGGGGATTGAACTCTCAGGGGCACTCAACCACTAAACCCTGTTTTGTATTTTATTTGGAGACAGGGTCTCACCGAGTTGCTTAGTATCTCACCATTGCTGAAGCTGGCTTTGAACCCACCATCCTCCTATCTCAGCCTCCTGAGCTGCTGGGATTATAGGCGTGTGGCACCGTGCCCGACTACATGTTTTCAGTTCTTTGGAGTATATGCTTAGTAGTGGAAGTTCTAGATTATGTGTTTAACTTTTTTTTTTTTTTTTTGGTATTGGGATTAAACCCAAGAGTGCTAAACCACTGAGCTACCTCCCCAGCCCTTTTTAAATTTGAGACACAACCTCACTAAGTTGCTTAGGGCCTTGCTAAATTGCTGAGGCTGGCCTCAAATTTTTGCTCCTCCCACATCACTGGGATTATTTGTGCTACTGCACCCAGCACATGTTTTAACTTTTTGAGAAACTACCAAACTGTTAAATTTCCACCAACACATGTTATTGCCTCTTTTTAAATTATAGTCATCCTCATGGCATCTCAT